TAGTTTGACTGCAGGCTATGTTCTAGACAGACAGTGGTGTTAGTTTGACTGCAGGCTATATTCTACTCTGACAGTGGTGTTAGTTTGACTGCAGGCTATATTCTACACTGACAGTGGTTTTAGTTTGACTGCAGGCTATGTTCTACTGTGCACCAGTTAAGGAATCGAGAATGCGGTGGAGCGCGTTAATCTCCTCTAATGAATGATCGCAATTCCATGTGGGCGGGTAGTGCTTGTTAGCAGGGTGCATTGTGTGTGTGTGTGTGTGTGTGTGTGTTAGCTGGGTGTATTGTGTGTGCTCAATTAGGAGTGTCTTGATAGCTGCGTGGCCCAGATCTACATACTCCGCGGTCTGTTGACCAAGATATCCATTTATTCCACCGGCCGTCTTCGGGTCTGCTGAGCAAATCCTGATCCAACGTTTGGTGTCTGCTGTAATTACATAGGCCTGGGCGGCGCGCGTTCTCCGGCTGGGCTGATTGAGGAAATCTCTCCGTCAAAGGTGCACCGCGGGTCGGTGAGATGAGTTACCGGCAGTTGTAGAATCTACCAATGTTCCTTCCTTGTGGACCGAGATATTGATCGACACTCGAGTGGTGTGGGTGTGTGGTGGTGGTGCTCTCAAGTGGGGTGGGTGTGTGGTGGCGTTGGGCCCTGTATGTGTTCAGTGTTTGGGTTTTGTCCGTAGACTCCCGCGGCGCTGTGAACAAATATCTCCCGTCTCATGGTGGCTGCACATCTTGGGATAGAGCGACTGGATTCTTAGTGTGTGCTTCCCGCTCCGTTTTTGTTTCTTTCTTTTTTTAATCGTTGTTTTTGTTTTGTTCTGTGTTCTTCTGTACGTGGCTCTGGCAGGTACTCTAGTGCGTGTGGGCCACCAGCGAGGGACGGAGTTGCCTTCTACATGTGTTGGACATCTCTGTGTGGGTGACAAGGGACATCTCTGTGTGGGTGACAAGGGACATCTCTGTGTGGGTGACAAGGGACATCTCTGTGTGGGTGACAA